AAAAGTTTTTGGATTTGTCAGGTAGATACTAGATAGAAAGTCTTTATACCTGCTGAAGTACTTGTTTATATTATAATTTCTATATTTCAGTGGAGTTGGTAATCCTGAAGGAAACCCAACATCTGATTTAACTCGAGTGGATTCTGTGATCAACCATAATAATCACATTTTGTAATTCCTGATAAGACATTTGTTTTTCGGAAATATGAAACTCATGTACATAAGACTATAAATTTAAGTTTAGATCGATAGCTAATTGAGAAAAATTTTAAGATAGCTTTGTGTAAGTCTTGAAATTTTTTTCACTAACCTTATTTAGTCACTCCGAAGAAATTTTCTGAATGCATCTTTGACTGTTGCCAAAATAATTTGTGATTGAAAATTATGATATCAAAATCTGAAAGATACACAAGTGAATTATATGTCTGGATACATACATGCAATTCGGAGAGTGAACATTTTTCATAAAACTTTTGTATAATTTATTTAATAAAACTGAATATAGTACATGCAAAATATTTAGCTGTTTGATTTGTTACCAATTTAGAAAAAGGTCAAATTAGAATACTTCATAAAATTAAATATTCAATGCTACAAATTAAATTCCTCAAAGGCCTAAATCAATAAATAGAATTTCAGTATTATTAAAATTTGATTGATTGATTGATTACACAACACTGGCTAAGCTAAAACTGTTTAAAATCAATTTTTAATTAAAGAAAAACGTTCTTTTAATTATAATAGGTACATATTTATTTTGATATTTACATATAACATTATAATTATATATCTAGTATATTAATATTGATTTAGGAAAAATATTATGCTGCTGCCTATTGATATATATTTTTATAAAAATCAAAATGAAAAAAGCTGAACCGCTTTAAATCTGGTTAAATTAAAAAAAAAAAAACGTAATAAATCGATAATAAAAGTTGAAAGTTAGCTGTTTGATTACTTAGTTTGAAAAGTCTTTCTTCACAAAAGTCTTTTAAACATGCAAGGCACTTTTTCTGAATTAATCATTGTATATTTCAGGCTCTTGCTTTCATGTGCCAATGTGGAAAATTAAAACTATAAAAAATAACCTAACGAAATGCTTTTCAACTCAACTGATCGAATTTAAACTCAAGAAACATGTTTTATTGAAGATTTGAAATAAAACGTTTCGGAATAATCGTTATTGGAGTAGAAGACAATTTAGAAAAAATTTTAATTAACGATTAGATTAATTAAATAAATATTATTAAAACGTATTAAAAATTTATTATAATATTTTTATATTGAGCGACGAATTTAAATCTTGTATTTAAAAAAAAAGACCTTAAAATTTGATATATTTAGCTTCCTCCTCCGTCCCCTTCATAATTCTTACTCTTAACATTAATTAATTATTTTTTATTTTATATCTATACAATTATTTCCTCACAAAAACGTGCACGATCTATAAACTTGAATAAGCAACTCTGATAGTTTAAATTCAAGTTTCCTTATCAGAGAAGCACAAAATAAAGGCAATGTGGTCACTTGTGATTAGAAATATTTAAAAATATTCCAAAATTATGTAAATTGTCCCTTAAGTAAAAGTCAAAGCGACACGATACATATTGCAAGCTTTGGTACATGTTAACTAGATATTAAAATTACATATCTAAATATATACAATTACATTACGTTA